TGTTCTGAAAACAGTTTTATGAATGAGAAGCCTCTCTGTTGGGTCACTAATTGTATCAACACAGCATTGGAGAGACTGAAACAAAGGGAAAGAGAGAGCTATGCAGTGTTTATGTAACTATCAGTGCCCAGAGGGCATTTACAGATCCCACACCCTGAGGTTTGGAGAATGCTTGAAGGCTTGGGCTGTGCTTTGCATTCAGGGTGCTCTTCTCCTCGTGCTTTGTGAGCAAGAACTTTGATAAGCTTTTTCCAGTTTTGGAAATTCAGACTGCATAGGAGTGGGTTGTGTTTACATTATAGTCAAGCTGGAATGAATCCAATATGATTTAAATTAAAATGTCTTTGTTTTGAGTATAACTTTGAATTATTTTTCAAATAGAACAATCTTTCTTTCTTTTTAAATGCATGAAATGTTTTTTTTTTTTTTGCCCCCTTCTTGTTTAAATGTAGATAACTTTATAATTGACTTTAAGCTGGGAAAGTTTCCAACAGACTATAATTATTCTTTTCTTTTGTGCAATGTTTTTTATTAGTGCTATGAAGCTGGGCTAATGTCACAATACATAAAGACTTGGAAAGAAGGCGACACGGCCTTTTGGCGTGGGCCATTTGGAGGGTTCCCATATCGACCTAATAAGGTTAGTTTCCTAAGAGACGTAGGATGTTTCAGCTCGTGGCAGCTAGCTTTGTTTAATAATCCAAAGGGAAGACATCAATTTGATTACTATTTTCATGATTATTTTAGGGACTTCCTGGGTATTGTGCAGTGCTGCGGCATTAGCAGTCAACTGGGGAAAGTACACCTTATTGAACTGCAGCATATGTAAGAGGAAAGAGGAGAAGGAGGTGGGTGGGAGACTGGAAAATTAGCAAGGCTCTCTGTTCATCACTTGCATGTGTTTAACAAAGGAAATGTATTCTGCCCCAGCAGTGAGTGTGGATTGTTTTTTGCCTTGTTTGAGCAATGCTGCTATCTTGTGACTGAGCACAAGTGAAAAAGAGGTGTTGATTTTTTCCTCTCCTGGGTGTTCCCCGAACTACAGCAGCTCCAGTGAGGTGTCACATCACCCAGACACTCTGCAAATGTTGATTCCCATCTACTGATACCAGGCTCTCTGCAAAGAAAGGCAGATCCAGTTTCAGGGGAAGGCTTCTCACGCACGCTAATTTCGTTACTTAATTCTGACCTTTCAAACAAGAAGCAGAATTGAAACATAGGTCATTAAGATCCTAAAGCCTTCCTTACTTTTTTTTTTTAAATTCATTTCAAATATCCAATGAAAGTAGGGCTGTGAAATCCCATTGACCAAGCTCCATGTGGAGCAGTGGTGTTCTGCTTCCTGGAATATCCTCCCTGCTGTGTAAGGCTACTGTTCACTTCTGTTCTTAAAAGCCTCCAGGTCATCTGGGACAAAACATTGCAGCCCTGCCTAGAAATGACTCATTCAGGGATTGCCTGGGTGATCCTTGTGCATGTAGTTTGCAGAGTACCTGAGCAATCTTTACAACTTGCTATAGAAGAACTGTCCCCACCGTGGGCCTCCTTGGGTGCAGGTAAATGAGTGAACATCTCCATGCTGCAGGTGGGAAACACTGGGTGCTGCACTGGTAGGTGTTTGATAGAAGTGAGATGATAGACCCAGGATGATGTGTGGATCAAGGTGAAGAAGGAACCATTCCCTCCATATCATCCTCAGGACTGTATTTTGCAGCATCCAAAATGAACAGCTATCTTTTCCAGACAGAAAACAACCAACAGTGGGTCAGCAAAGTGTGCAGCTGAACTGAAACTAAAGTTAGGATAAATGTTTCTATTTGGATATAATCCAGTTTCATTAAGTTTGATGTATAAATCTTGAAAGTGCTATCTGTAGTCCATGATGGGGTTTACAGGAAAACACATCTGAAGACTTGTATGTACCAGTTCATGTCCTGATGTTTTCCCCTTTCTAAGGACCCTTTAGCAGTGTGGCAGCAAGAAGGAACTGGCAATGAGCACCTTTGTTTCCAGTCATGATGGTTAATTCAGAATTCTCTGTTCCATTGTTAGCATGGAGAACTCCTCATGCTGGCTTCTGGCACTGGTCTTGCACCAATGCTTCCCATTCTCCAGTCCATAACGGATGATGAAGAGGATGAAACCTTTGTAACTCTTGTTGGCTGCTTTTGTACATTTGAAAAAATTTATTTGAAACCTCTTCTCCAGGATCTGGCTCGATACTGGAACATCAGAATATTTTACATCCTAAGCCAGGTAAATAAATGAATATGAAGTACATTTATGTGACTGTTCTGTTGTGCTCGATGGACCTTTTCTGTCAGTCTGGTGCTAATTCTTTCCCCAGCCATCAGGGCTATTGTTGATCCGGTTGCTGCTGTTCTCAGATCTATTAAATGGTTTCTTGTGCTGCCAACAGCCTGGAGAGTTTTAGGGAAACAACCCTCTCTGCTTGTCCCTCTTCAACCCCACTGGCAGTTTTTCTGTCAGGAAGGACCCACTGATTCATATTCACTGTTGATTATTTTCCCCTTCATTTCAGACACCAAAACATTTATGCCACGAAAGCTTTATTCTGGGAGCCTCACAGCAAATAAACTATTTCTCCTTTCCTGATACCAGTGCCTTAGTCTGTCCTTATCTTCCATTTGTTGCTCATGACTGCACCTCTCTTATTCTAGTACGTTACCACCAACTTCCCAGGAATTTTTTTTCCCTAGTTGACCCATTTTTAAACTTTCTGAAGTTGTGGCCCCCTCTGTAAAATGATTTTCTGTGCCAAATTCATAGGATGAGGGCATACCTCTCAGTGGTCTTATGTTTTCAGCGGTCTTTCTCGTTCTCATTTGGTCCCAAAGTTGCCTGTGTTCTGCACAGATCTGGTAGATGAAAATTATTTCCTTCAGCAATGAGGATTCATTGCAGGGAAGATACAGAAAGAATTATTTATGCTAAGGGAATGAATCCCATTGCATTTTTAGCTTCTCAGATGAATCATTTCTTGTATCTCATGGTGGATCTGCCTCATACATTATGTTCCACATATGGTCTTGGCAAGTTGAGTCTGGATATAGAGGAAAAGTACTTGTGCTTGGGCATCCCCTCAACTGCTCTGTAGGTGTGTATCTGGTGACATAGCTTAGATGCTCTTCTTGGGACAGTGCTTTCTCAAGAGCCTGAGAAGCTCCTGAAATTCAATGCAGTGAAGAGCAGCAAGAAACCCATCTGACCCTCTCTGACCCCTGTCAACACAGTGCCCTACGTACACATCTCTCCTCTCTTAACAGGCTGCTTGTACTCCAACGCTGAGTGGTGCATCTTCCCTTTTAGGATTCTATGTGTCTGTCCCAGTATTTAGCTCTGCTGCCTGTCACCATCAGATCTAAACACCTTCTGCTTCTAATTAATAGCAGTAGGGGGTCCTGTTAGATCTAATGTCATGGGATCTAACATTGCTCATGGGATCAGAGCTGTGTCTGGAGCAGGGTTTTCTTCAGTTGCTTTGGCGAGGGAGATGGAACTGAAGGAGGCTTGGGGGAGTGGAAGAGGCAGTGGGGAGAAATAGAATTGGGACTGAAGACTTGGGAATCAAAAAGGCATGGTGGGTAGTGGCTCCCAAAGGAGTAGGTCCTGCAGTGTTATTTGGCAGTAGTTACACTTAGTTTTGTTTAGCTGAGTGGCCAGATTCAGTGATAGGGAGGTATTTTGTCTGGCCTTTGCAAGAGGTGCACAGGTCTTGGGATGGATCACTGCTATCCTGGCTGGAGTCCCAAGGGTGAAAAACGTCCCATGCAGTCCTTTGAGAGGAAGAGGGAGATTCAGTTGTAAGCAATTGATTGTCCTTTTTAGTGTCCTTTTTTGCCTTTTCAGGAAACTTCATTGGAAAATCTTCCTTGGAGCTATCAGGAAAACACATACACTGGTCGCCTAAATGAGGACTTGATAAAGACAATAATAAATTCCTGCCGAAGAAAGCCATTTGTATTAATCTGTGGATCTTCTGCATTCACTGAAGACATGAACAGATATCTGAAAGCTGCAGGAGTTGAAGAAGATTCCTGTTTTGTCTTTTAGCAAGGTATTCCTGAACCAAGGAGCGTCAGGCTAAGACTAGGACATCCTGTTAAAAGACATTGCTCAAAATCAGTCATCTCAAAAGACTGAGATCCTTATGCCTGTAGTTTCATAGGCCTTTGGATCAAATATATTTTCCAGTATGATTCTCAATCTTGAATGTTTTAAAGATCAGGCGATCTTCCAGAGTGGCTGCTACAATCACCCATACCTCAAGGAACAGCGTAGTCTTTTTAGTGGGAGTCTTTACATGAGGGACACCTCTTTAGGATATTAAGAAGCATCCAAGTGTACACCTCTGCTGTAATATGAAGACCAATGTCTTGCTTTGAAGTCTGTGTTTATATGCAGTGATATTGTGCCCCATTGGTTGTACCCAGGAGAGATTTAATCCTTGGGAGAAGATAATGAGGCCAAGGGAACAGCAGAGCACTGCATGACCCTCTGGTGTCTGTGGGGTTCATTTCAGTGTCGTTGTCTTGCTGGGTGATGCCAGACGGGTCTCTTCAGCCTCCCTGTGCCTCAGTTGCCCTCTATAATACATTAATGTGGGGATGAAGGTGCAGCTCCGTATGTACCAAAAAAAAAAAAACCACGTGTATGTAAGGGTGGAATTGTGCATGCTGCTCAAGGAGGATTTGCATTGCCTGTGCTGAACCTTAACCTTTGCAATGCTTCTGGAGGGAGGAGGAGAATGTCCCAAAAGTCTTTGGGGAAGCATCAGTGTAGCTGCTATCCATCAGGAAAGATGGTTGTCTGCTTTCCGTGTCCCCTAAGTGTTGTGTAAGAGTCCTGCTTCATTAAATTGAAATTACTATCAAATAAACAGCTGTTTCTTTTTGTCATAGGATTTTCACAGAGTGAAAGTGTCCTGAGCACCCCTGAGCATGTAAGAACAACATGTGAGGAGTGAAAGCTTCACTGGGCTTTGCTGGGATACTGCCCTACAGAGCACAGCAGGGCACTCCAGCCCCTTCCTGTTAGTGCACAGTGCTTCTGCCTTTGATCTGAGTTATCCTCTCTCCACTCTTTTACCTCTTAGACCACAGTGTTCACTAGCTGCACCTGGACATATACCCTTTTGGCACATCTTTCTGTTTTGCCATTCATTCCTTATTCATCCTGTACTGGGATTTCATAGGGTTTCCATGGCTGTAGCAGACGATGATGCATCATCACTCCTGTCTATTTTTTACCTGTTTGAAATAATACTCCTTGCACACGGGGCACGTACTTGAGAGCTGCTCAAAAGGATAGCTCTGCTTCACGTTGGGAAGCTGTGTGGGTACCTGAGGTCGTGCAGACAGCAATTGATTGCACTATATCTGCTGTTTTAGCTTTGCCTTTGCTCCAGGAGTGACACTGACAGTGAGATCATGTGAAGGATGGGCTGATCATCTTGACCACGCTTTTTGACTCCTTCACAGCTGCAGTGAGGCTCTGGCACCTTTTCCTGGCTCATAATAATATGTGCATGTTTGGTGAGTAAATACACTGTTGACTATGCCACTTGGGTGTGGGAGAACTCTTGTTTTTTCCTGTGAGACTGGAATCTGTAACAGTGCTGGATCTAAGCTCGGGATGTGCCTCTTCTCTCACACGGTTCAGGGTCAGAGCTGCGAGCAGCCTGGGCCCTACAGACACAGTCTGCCACGGTTGCCACTAAACCACAAGAAGTTCTTTGCAATTGCACAAAGGTGCATGTTTACAGTGCATGACATAGTCTTAAATGGCATGGCTTCCCCTTGCTGACATGAGGTTTGTCTCCAGTTACCAAATGCCTGGACTCAGTCCAGTATGGATGCAGCTTTTAAGCTGACTTCATCAGATCAAGGGCTGTTCTCATAGCCTACAGTAGAGTTCTGGCTTTTACTGCAGGCGGATGCAGTGATGTTGCCCATGTTAGGTCCAAGGCAAACTCTCATGCCTATCCAAACTGTTTTAGCCACCATAACCCACTCTGTAGTGGAGGTGCTTCTATGCAGCGTGGGGCTGATAGAATAAAGAGCTGCCTTCTCTAGTTGCTCTTGCTGTTTTGTTCCTGGCTGGGAACACAGGAAATATTTTCCTCTGATGTTACGTACTCTGAAAAGCATATTTATATACCTCTTGCTTTAAGCATCCTGCCTGTTGGAGATACTGCTAAAAACCCACAAAGCCTTTTAGCAAAGGCCCGAGGTAAAACTTCACGCTTGCTTTGGAAAAGCAATGCGTTTCCAAGCAAAAGCTGAGACTGTTCCTTTAAGCTCAACCCCAATATGTCTGGGTATTTCAGCACATATGGGCCACGATGGTTAAACCCTACCCAGCTGGTCCGGCCATTCTGCCGCGAAGCCTCCTGTCTTTGTTCGTGGCTAAAAGGGAGGGTGGTGAGAGACAGAGCAAGCTGTGAGTGCTGCGGGTTGCAATCCTGCAAAGGCAGCCTGCAGGGCAGCGGGAGGAGACGACATGCAGCCGACAGCCCGGTTTGCTGTGCCGGAGGGGATGGGGGCTGTGAGAAATTCTCCATAGGGGAGACCGTGTCCTTGGCGTGATGAACTCAAAGGGGCCTTTAAACAGCCCTCGGCGCTTTGTTCTGCATTTTCTGCCCTTCTTTCCCTTCCCTCCCCCTTTCCCCACTGTCCTTTTGTCATTTTTCATGCTGGATGTCATGTGCCCATGGGGACAGGCCATTGTAGAGGGCAATGCTGGGCAGCAGTGGGATGGAGGGCTCTGGGAGGTCTTTCCCCACTCCAAGGAGAAGGCAGGCTGCTGCCTGTCCTGTGGGGTGCTTGGCTGCTTTGGCCACCCCAGCGAGGGTCACAGGGACACTGAGTCCCCCATGAGACCCCTGCAGTGCTGTGCCAGGGAGAGGAGCTTTGCTTCCTTTCTTCCTCGTGGGCAGCCCAAATACCTTCTTAATTTCATCTCATTATTCCCTGCCTAAATAATTCCTCTTCCTCCTGGGGGACCGCGTTTAAAACTTTGATCTCCTCTTGACGACTCGCGGTCCTGAGCACATCCTTTCTGCTTAAATGGATCAAATGCCTTTTTGACTCATGATTTATAGATCTTCCCACCAAGGAGTTCAGGAAGCCCTGATACAGCAGCCTCAAAAAAAAAAAAAAAAAAACAAAAAAAAACAACAACAACACCCCATGATGTCTCCGGCCTGAGCCTCAGCACTCAGGGCTGACCCAGAGCCATTTGTGAAGGGCTGCCTAGCTTCTCATCAGCATTACTGCTGTTCTCATCCTCCCCCCATCCCCTCTGCTCTGCTGACTGATGGCGTTGCCTGGGCTCGGGCTCGGCCAGGGAATTGCCATCCCCAGGTCAGGAGGGGGTGAATGTGCCCGAGGCTGATGGATGCCTTTCCCCAGGATGGGGTCACAGCTGGTGTGCTGCACAGCCCTGGCCCCCATGTGCTCCCCATGTCCCAGGGGTACTGCTGACACGGAGCGCAGCTGGAGGGATGGAGATGAGCGGCCACGTAGGTGTCAGTGTGCTGAGAATGGTGGTGGAGGAAGCCTGGTGTTACTGTGCTGGATGAGCCGTGCTGCTTCTTGGTGGATCTGTGGGCTTTCTGAGGCAAGAGAACTGTCCTGGCTGGGGTCTTGGTCACGACGACCCATGATGTGGTATGGGGACAGATCCTTTTTATCCCAGCTCATTTGGCTCCAGCTAATTGAGCTCCACGGAGGTGGACGTGCCATCAGTGGGATGCATGTCTGGTGCCAACCAGCTCTGCATGGCTCCAGTGAGGCTGGGCAGGGGCAGAGAGCCCAGCCAAACATTACTGTTATTACCCATATGTAAATACAGGCACTTAATGACCTTGGCATGGAGTGTTTCCTGGGAATTAATGGCCAGTTGGTGTTAATGGTCCTTAGCAGCACCTCGGGCCAACGGCTCCTCCCAGCCCATCATTAATCCACAGGAAATGTCTCAGGCATCGATCCTCATTGCTTAATTAATAAACGCAACTCATCTCCACGGCTGAGATTTGGAGACACTGGCTGCTTCTTTCCCCACCGCCTGGAAGGTGCCTTTTTCAAGCAGAGGTCTCTCCCACGCATGGCTTCATTTTGCCAGGCCTCTGTGTGCAGCATGGGCTGTGAAAGCACTGTGCAGTTGGGCAGGCAGTGAGAAGCCCAATGCTGGGATGCTGCCGGTGTCTCCAGCTTTTATCAACAGTTGGCTTGTGCTACAGTATAAATCACGTTAATTCCTGAGGTACTTTTCCGTGGTGAGCCTGAAATTCCCATTTTGGTTTGCTGTCTTGCCTGGCGAACTAAATTATTTTCATAGCCCCTTAAGGGCATATTGTCAGCCCAGACTTACTGCCATTATACACCATATCTGAAGCATTAATATCTCTTCTAAATATAGTGTATTGACAAGGTATCTGCTATAGTGTAAATCTTTGGGACATTTGATCCAGATCATTAAAACCGAGTGAAGGAAGGGAGGAATAGATCAAGTTGCTTGCTGCTCTTAATTCAAACAAGCGATGAATTATTCATTCCACTATTAATTCTGCAGCCCTCCTGCTTTTTATTTATTTCTCCCCGTATTTATTTTTTCCCTCCTGGACAGACAGCTCTGGAGAGATGCTCGGGTGGTGGTGACAGCAGGATGGGGCGCAGGGCCATGGGCTGCATGCCGGTTTTGGTCCTGTTCTGCACGGTGCTCAGGGTGGCCCCGAGTGGAGGTAAGGTTCTGTGCATAGTGGGGGTTGGGAATGGCTCAGCAGCACTGGGTGTGCAGGTACGTGGGGTGGTGAGTCCTCGGTCATGCTTATTTTAGGTGGTAGGTAGGCATTGTCTTGTGGTTACAGGCACTTTGTTGAAGGGTTTGTTAACTTCTGGAGTTCTACATACGCGTATACATACATACACACCAGTATATATGTATATGTTTGTATGTATGCATGTGCAGCTTGCTCTGTGTGTGTGTGTGTGTGTGTGAGACAAAACCCACATATTATCTGTGACCCTGGGCACGGGCCGCAGTACTGCGTGGCATTGGGGTGGGACAGCTCAGCCAGTTGTTTCAGCCAGCTGGCTGTATCCTTCCCCAAAATGCAGAGCAGCCCAGGCACCCCATCCTCAGTGACCCACCCCTCCTGCTGAATTCCCTTTTGGGTATGATTCCAGTAACATCAGGCTGTTAGCACAGTCCTGTATGGCTTGATTGCCTATCTCTGGTAATTAGCAAGGTGCAGAGATCCACCAGCATTGCTGCTCATGCACACATGCACACCAGATCTGCTCACAGTGCAGCGCTGCGCACATCCTCGGCTCTCTTCCTTGCCACACTGACAAGCATAATGGACAGTAGTATGCAATGGCTGAGTATTGATTTGCACATGCTTGACCCAGATTGATGGCAGTGAGCATGCAGCCATGTTTGGGAACCAGCACGTGTTCCCCATAGGCTACACAGAGCCTCTCCCCTCCCAGATGCAATGTCTGTGCCTGCTGTGCAGCATCTGCACCCAGCCCTGGCTCCCTCCCTGCCTTATTTCATTATAACCATGTCTCCATATAAAGGTTTCATTAGAAAATCAATCCCTACATGCACAACTCATTGTGAAGCGCATTGAACCCTTCATCCCTGTATCTCCTAGCCTGAATTCACCAATACCACCTTCGTACGCAGGGAATGTTTTGAGCAGATATCAAAAAGCTGAAGGGATGGGCAGCCCACGGGTTATCCCTACATTTAACATCTGTCTTTAGAGCTGCTGTAATCGGGGAGCTGAGGAGCACCTCCAGAGGTTCTCTGGGGCAGGATGTTGCAGCTGCCTCCTGGCACAGGACTGAGGATGGGGCTGCCTTGGCCATGCTGCCTTACCTGCAGGTGCTGGATTTCCCCCCTTGCAGCTTTTGGGAAAAGGAGAGTATATTTCTTGCTGAGGACCAGCCAGAGTGTAACCACTGCTCTCTTAAAACTTACTCTTTACTTTTTCCCAGCAAGAAATAGATACTGACAATAAGATGTAGGTGGACCAGTGGGATGAACTCATGGAAATGGTCAAGTGTGGGAGCCCATCATTCAGCAGGGCTGCAGGGGGGTGGAGGAGGAAGTTACACAGAGGGAAAAATGGCAGTGGGGGGGACACGTGTATTGCAGGTCTCCCTGGACACCTCTTCTAGGTCTGGATGGTATTTTGGCAGCGCTGGTGTTAGGATGGAGCTGTGGCGGGATGGAGCTGGTGCTGTGCATCCCATATAGTCCAGTCCCACTGCCCACCATCTTTTTAGGCATGTCCTAGAAGGGATTCATCACATCTGCCTCCCACCCCTCTTTCCTGTCATCAGGCATCAAATGTGGCGGGGTGCTCTCAGCACCCTCTGGAAACTTCTCCAGCCCCAATTTCCCAGGGCCGTACCCCTACGAGACGGAGTGCACCTGGCTGATCGTGGTGGCCGAGGGCTCCTCCGTCCTGCTCTCCTTCAGCCACTTTGAGCTGGAGTACCACGCCGCCTGCGCTTACGATTATCTCCAAGTCTACAATGGGGCATCCCTGGACCAGGGTAACCTTCTGGGCACCTTCTGTGGCCGTAGTGCCCCACCACCTTTTGCTTCTGCCTGGCACGTCATGGCTGTGGTCTTCCGCTCTGACCGGCACGTGGCCAAGCGTGGCTTTGCTGCCACCTACCACAAAGGTAATGGGGAAGGGGATGGCCATGAGGGTGTCTGTCCGTGCCCATCCGCTCACTGACCTCGATGGCTGTACCTCCTTGCAGATGCATGTGGTGGGCAACTGACGGGGCTGTCTGGGGAGATCGCCAGCCCGCGGTACCCCGAGAGCTACCCCAATGATGCAGAGTGCCGCTGGAGCATCAGGGCGACTGACGGCCCCCTCACTCTGATCTTTGCTGACTTCCAAGTAGAGGGCAGCCAAGGTTGTGGCTTCGACTATGTGGCTCTTTTCGATGGCCCTACTGCTGCTGCCCCCCACCTGGGTCGCTACTGCGGTAGCACCCGCCCGCCCCGCATCGTCTCCTCTACCCAACACCTCTTCATCCTCTTCAAATCAGACTTCAACATCGTGGGCAGGGGCTTCAAGGCCCGTTTCTATTCAGGTGCAAGGTTTGGGGGATGGTGGGAAGGGTGTGGAGTTGGGGTGTTGCTCTCAGACGTAGGGTTTGGGTGATTCGGTGCAGAGCCAGGAATTGGGCTCTGTGATCCTCATGGGTCCCTTCCAACTTGGGATGTTCTATGCCCATGGCCTTGGCCCCCTCAGATGCTGCTATTCCCTAAAACTTCTAGGTGAACGTTGAGCAGACACTAAGTAGCAGTGAGACAGAGGGCAGAACAGGCTTTAGCAACAAAACTGATGAGCGCTCATCAGCCAGAAGACTTCAGTTATCCTTTCCTCCTCTCCCTCTGCTTTTTCCCTAAGCAGGTGAGTGCCAGGAAGTCTACACCACCATCAAGGGAAATTTCTCCAGCCCTCAGTACCCCAACTTCTACCCCAACAACCTCCAGTGTCAGTGGAGCATCCAGCTGCCCCCAGGCTACCGGATCAAAGTCTTCTTCTTGGATCTGGAGCTGGAGGCTCGGAGCAGCCTGACCAGTGGCTGTGACTACGACCGCCTGGATGCCTTTGATGGTGGAACTGAGAATGCCTCCCTGCTGGGGACGTGGTGTGGGAGGGAGAGCCCAGTGCCTGTCACCTCCCGCAGCCATCAGCTGCTGTTGGTCCTCCACACGGACCGCAGCACAGCCAAGCGGGGCTTCTCCCTTGCCTACGTTGGAGGTAAGACATCCACTCATCCCAGTCAGTGTAAGAACCACGGGATTTTTCGCTGCATCACAGAATTGTTTGAGTTGGAAGGGACCTTTAAAGGTCATCTAGTCCAATTCCCCTGCAATGAATGGGGACAAAGGGATGAAAGTCCGAGGAGAGGCAGCCAGGCATTTGGGTACCCTCTCATGCATCAAAACCACTTTCCATAACTCAGCCATTTTGTGTTGGTGCCATCACACCTCAGTGCCACGTTTGCTGTATTTCAAGATAATTACGTCTGAGCTGACCCATGTATTGGGCATGATTCATGCCTGCACTCAGCACAGGATGAGCCTGGGGTCCGTGGAATGCAGGAGCAGCTGCAGCATCTGTGTGCAGCCCAGCCCAGCACCCTGCCTGCAGAGCTGCTGGTACTGCAGCACTGGAGCTGCAGCAGCTGAGCTGGGTGCAGGAGCTTTAATCCCTCAGCAGCAGAATCATATGTCACAGGGAGAGCAGCAGAAGGCATTTTGGAGAATGTAGCCATGGCAGTGAGAGGGGATGGAGCTATATCCTAAGCCTTTACAGGCTGGGGAGGGGTAAGGTTTGTACCAGGCACCCAGTAGGCTGTGTGTCATTCCCAGGACCACAGAAACATGAGAAAGGGGCATCTCAGTCTCTGTAACTCTTCATTCCTGCAGATATTTTCCTTTTGTCTGGGCCCATGAGGTGACTTGGGTGGGGTGTGTGTGATTTACGGCCATTGGAATGAGAGCCTTCATGCAAGGAGTGAGGATCCATTTTCTCCTCCTCCTCTTCTTCATCTAATGCACTTTAGTTATTTGGTAAATCTTCTAATGGTTTTTATAATGCACTAAGTGTAGCAAACTGACACTGTTTTTTCATATTGATTTTATTGCATCTTACCAGTTTCATAAGGCCGAGATTCAGAGGGAGTTGGAATAATTCAATAATTCATTACTGTCCAAGTGCTTGGTTTGAGCTCGGCGAGGATGAATTTCAAAGGAGAGGGGCATTTTTTCCTCCCTGATTCCTTCCTGCATCCATTGCTTTCTGCTCAAAGAGATGGGGTTTGTCCGGTGCCTGGGATCCCACAGTCTGCAAACCCAATGCAAGGCAGGGCTAAACCACTGCTGTATCAAATAACTCTCTTTTTTTCCCCTGAAAACACAACTTGTCACATCAGTCCTCAAGCCATGGCTGTGGCACAGTGCATAACAGCCATGAGGCTGGAGTCCCTACTGTCCCCACCACCACCAGCTGTGTGTGTCATGGGGACAGCAAGCACAAAAGGTGGCAGTGATGACAGCTTGCCCGTGTCTCCTTTTTGGTCCTGACAGTCGTACCCATGAACGTCAGCTGCACACGGACAGACTTCCACATCCAGATCCCCATGCAGGCCCTGGCCCAGCTGCAGAGGAACAAGGTGTACTTGGGGATGCCCTCCTGTGTGGCTCAGGTGGTTGGTTCACACTTCAGGATACACACCCGCTTTGACACATGCGGCACTGAGTCTCAGGTAAGGATTTGGCAAACCTTCCTGCAAAGCAAGATGGGCAGTGGGCTGACCTCTCTTCCTACGACTCTCTGAAAGGTGGTTATAGTGAGCTGGGGTCAGTCTCTTCTCCCAGGTAACTGCTAGTAGGATGAGAGCTGGTGGCCTCAAGTTGTGCTGGGGGCGGGGTTCAGGTTGGATACAGGGAAAAAATTCTCAGCAAGAGCAGTGATGCACTGGCCCAGACTGCCCAGGGAGTGGTTGAGTCAGCATCCCTGGAGGTGTTCCAGAACTGATGTGGCACTGAGGGATGTGGTTGGTGGGGACGGGTTGGTGATCTTAGGGACTGGGTGATCTTAGAGGTCTTTCCCAACCTTAATGATTCTGTGATTCCATGACATCATGTTGGTCACATCAGGTGTGGGGAGGAGTTGCTGGCTTCTTTCCCATCCTCCCAGTAGATGCTGGGCTGCTTTGCTGTCAGCTGGATGTTCAGAGCTGTCTCCATGAGCCTGCTTTGTCTTGCAGAGACGAAACAACACATCCATCATTGTCAGCACACTCTACATTGACTTCTCGGTGGGTGACCAGGAGGACATCCACCGGTACGAGGTGCAGTGTGAGCCCAAGAGGAAGGAAGCCTCTGTGTCCCTCATTGCTGGCCCAGACCCACACAGACTGAGCCAGGCAGAAAACATGGTGGACGTGCAGCAGAGAGGGGCGGGAGTGATGGATGCCCACGAAATCAAGAGCCAGGACACCAGTGACATCGTCTTCATCAGCATCTGCATTTTGGCTGGCCTGCTTATGGTCATTGCTGTGGTTGGGCTCGTGCTGCTGTAGCACACTCAGGTTGGAAACGTGGCCCCCAAAACCACCCTTGCCCCCAGTTTTGTGCTAACACAGCTGCTGAAATGGAGACGGTGAAACAAAGCCTGAGCCCAACCTCCACCTCATCCCCACGCCTGAGATCTGGGTGGTAGGCAGCCATTTTCCTTCCCATCAGTTTTCCTCTGTCTCTCAATCTGTCCATTTGGCTCAGGAATGCACTTCTTATGCTCTGTAACTATTCCCACACCTGCTTCAATTTGTTTTCCCTCTGGTGCATCTACTTTCGGGAAAGTAACACTGTTTGCTGATGGCTGGAAGTAATCTTGTCAACTGCTGAATTCCTGAACGTAGCAACTACCCCCAAATACAGCAATATTTGTAACAAACCTTCTCCATGTTCCCCATCTGTACTGGTGTGGGTGCTGTGGATCTGTAGTGCAGACATCAGCATCTTCCCTCGGTGTGCGGTGATGGGTACAGCACATGTGGGTGCTTTTGGGTGGTGTTTCTGGATGTCCTTACACCATATCTGAGGTTAGGGCTGGAAAAGACCTTTGAGATCCAACCCACCCCACCATGCCCACTGCCCATGTCCCTCAGTGCACATCCCCATGGTTCTGGAACACCTCCCTGTCCATGGGATGCTGCGGGTCACCATGCAGTGCTTCCCAGGCTGGACAAAAGTCCCTTGTAGCCGCCTGGGTGCTGGGCTCTCTGCCACCCTCCTGGCCTTGGGCAACCTTTCCCATCAATGGGGCTCTGTGCACACCGTGCTCACCGAGTTGTGAGTGTGATGGTGATGCTGGGGGTTTGCTCATCACCTCAACAAGTGATGCAGTGCAGCACATGAACTATACAGAGAGCTAACAGAGAGGGCTGGCAGGAGAAAGGAGAGGTGTAACTGGGGGCTGGAGCTGTGCTGCTCTTGTAAGTTAATTTTAATACGAATGTTGTGTTCATCTCTTTGCTGAGAGGGGGGTGAGGCTCTGGCACTGCTGTCCAGAGAAATATGCATGCCCACCCCTGGGATGCCATATTCAGCACTGAGTTTATTCCCTCAGTGGCGCTGGGTGCAGACCCCACTGCTTCAGTGACTCCCTCCGGGGCTGTTTTCTTCTCTCTCCAGTGCATCCCATGGCTGAAAGCAGTCTGCCTCAGGGATGAGGTGCTTGCTAGAGGAAATGCTCCTCAAAGATGGGGCAGATGCAGGTGTTCCCAAACTGGACATGTTCAGGGTTTGTACACTACAGCCCCAGCAAGGTCGTGTCTCGCTCAGAGGCCGTGAAGTCCGGCTCTGAACTTGCTTTAACTCTTTTTTCTTCTCTCTCGAAGAATGCCTGAAGTGAGGCAGCTCTGCTCCTCTAATCTGTGCTCCCTGTACACCCTGCAGCCCACTGCCACCCCTTTACCACCCTGCAGGTACCCGATGGAGCACAGCTGAGCAGGCAGCAGCCACCAGCCCCGCCAGCTGGGGAAGCATAATGGATCCAGCATATGGACAATTAAAAATGCAAGGACAGCGTTTATGGGGAGCTGTTGTTTCCCAGTTTATTTTAAGCAGTCATCTTTCCCATTTCCTGGCCGTCGCAGCCCAGAGGACAATGAGGTCATCCTCCCCATGCTCCTGGGGTTTGGGTGTGCAGAGATAAAACAGGGCACTTGGGGAACATGGGAAGCTGCTATGTTCAAAGGATGGCAGTGCCTTAAGGATCATTCCAAATCTGTGCTGCTCGCAGCCCTATCCAAGCATCTCCTGGGCTCTGGCCATGGGAGGAGCTCTCTCCCAAAGCCAGCATCGTAGTGGGTTTGGGGGGTCTGGGCTTTGAGGCATCCTCCTCCTCCTCCCTTCATTGGTGTCACAATGTGAAAATTTCAGTTTAGGCAAACCAGTGTCTGCACAACAGCAATCCTGCTGTTTGGGCAGGCTGTGCTGTGGGAAGAGCGCCTGTCCATGATAGGGGCACCTTTTATAGGGAGATAACTGCTTGGTGTATAATAATATATAATTAGCAAGGATTATCCTGTAATCTAGTCTAATTGACAGGGACCATAGATGTTGCCCAGCAGACTGCCAGCAGAAGAATTTAGAGCAGTGCTAATTGCAGTATAACCCTGGCATGCTCTTCCCCTGGTTACATCCCTCAGGATGCCTGAGCTCCTCTGTGCCTCAGTTTCCCCTGAATCCTGGTGCTGGGTGTTCAGGAGCCACCTGGCTGGGTCCTCACTGCTCCTTTTTGGTTCTGTAAGCCAAGCATTGGGTCTGCCACCCTGGCAGTACTGCAGAGAGAGGTGAGTGCAACACTGGGACTGTGATTCTGCAGCCCCCAGAAGCAGTTGGGGCCCTGGGGGCTGTGAGAGGGCATCTGGGGCTGCTCCTTGTCTCAGCATCTCTTCTTCCAGGGCCAGCCCAGCAAAGCGTTCAGATCACAGTGAGAGAGATCTAAAAGTTTGGGTTCTTTGTGGAGAAACCTTTGAAGAGCTCCTTAAAAGACAAGCAATGCCGAGGCACTGCACTCTCTTTTTCAGGAAGGATGGGAAGGGTCTTGCCTGCTCCCTTCTTCTTTCGCCCCAGCAATTTGCAGCACTGTGAAGCTTTCCTTCACTGCTGCCTCCCAAACCTGTGGGTTTGCTCTTCAGAAGTCCTTAAACCATTCCCCTGTTGTCTGTGCTTCCTGCTGTGCTGCAGCTCCCCAGCCCAGCCCTTAGGGAGCTTTCCCAATTCCCCCGCTCAGTGAATCTTCATCCCACGTGTCCCTGCAGCTTTAACATCACCCTGCAAGAGCTGGACCCAGAGCTATGCGCTTGGGTCCCTTAGAAAAATAGTTGTGAAAGTATTAGCCATAAAATAGACCAAATTTATATGAGTTTACTGGTGTGCAGTAACTCTGCACTCCTGGAGTTAATTCCCAAAAGAGAAATACTCAGCATGTAGTGAGAATGAGGCCAAAAAATATCTTCTCTGCAATGTGTGCTTCAAAGAGCCGAAAGGAATCCAAAATAGATGGAACAACAACTGCTTCTCCCTAAAGTGTGTTCAGAAAAGAAAGGTGTCAGGGGCCAAGAGAGATGTAGATAAAGTCACCCAGAAGAGTTGGCCATGTAGAGCCCTGTTTATGTGACCTTGTTTTCAAATTTTACAGCACTACTATGGATAGCATCTGGTAAGCATCCACATCTCTTTCCTCTATGTGGCAGCTATTGGCATTGCAGCTCTGGAAACAAAACCTAAGACACTCATTGATCCTGAACTTCTTTTGTGACAGACCAAGGTGGGTAAATTCAATCACAGCCTGAAGCTAAGTGGGAAATGGATCTGATTACTTGTAAGAAATTGAGGGTTTTCACATCTCTTGCTCCAGACTGGTCATCAAGTGTTAGCTCTTTACTGATGTATTATTCTCAGTCACCACTCACATCTGCCAGTTTCTGTCTCCAGCACACCTACCCATGCTTTGGGTGTTGTAGCGTCCAAAGGAGTATTTAGCAGCCCCACTTACTGACACCCAGTCCTGTTTTAAGATGAAGATCTGAATACCGACTACTGCATCATTTTCACATTGCATTATTTGTTCTTAAAGGACTCCCCCGAGGTCAGTGTTGACCACGACTGATCAAAGCACACCTCCTTACGGTGCATTACCTTTCAGTTCCCGTGCCTGTGAACAAGCAGGTTTCACTCATCCCAGCACTTGACTCTTTCGACCCCGTTAACTCAGAAAATGGATTGTGACCAGTGCCTTGTAAATGCACAGAGAACAGAGAGCACTTTATTCTCCACCACTAGAGAAAGACTGTACCTGTCACACGGCCTTAATAATAGCATAGAGACAACAAAATGACTTGTGGCACTAAAGAAAGCAGAATACGAAAGGCAAGGTTTCCAGGTTTTAATAACTAGTAGCATTTCAAACAATAGTTTGTTGTTTAAATCTACTTACACCATCATTCTGAAACATGCTCTTTACAGAGGAAAAAAAGCTTGGATGCGGAATGTTTTCCTCACAACATAACTGTAGTTAAAAAATTCATTTCAAGGTGGGGTTTCTTTTTTAATGTTACACTAAGAATAAGCACCACTTTTCAATCATGAGTGAGGTATGGAAGTCAGAGCGAGCTGCTCATTAAGCAGAGTATTAGATAGCACCTTTACCCCAGGGCATTTCGGTTGTCACCCCAGGGTTTCAGAAAATGGCCACCACTACAGGATGACTGAGCCTATAGAAGGATGGATAGAAAAGAGAATCACAGAATGGCCTGGGTTGAAAAAGACCACAGTGATCATCTAGCTTCAACCCCCCTGCTGTGTGCAGGGTGGCCAACCACCAGACCAGGCTGCCCAGAGCCACATCCAGCCTGGCCTTGGATGCTTCCAGGGATGAGACATCCACAACAAAATCATCAAAACTTGTTTTGTATCCCACTGTGGATGCAGGGGAAATCACCTGGCTTGGCTAAACAGGGCTCAGCCGCAGCAGACTTGGCTGAGTTAGGATCAATGAGGGTTTGCAGTTATCCATTAAGAACCTCCTCCCATGAAACAATTACCCCAATTTCCCACTATTTCCCACCAGTACAGCACAGAGATGATTCTTTATGCCATTCAGCTAATTACACCTGAAGATCCACATCAGAGATGGAGCTGAACTGAGGTATGACAAACTGACAACAGAAAGAGGTGAGCGAGCGGGGGTGGCTTTATACCAGGAAAATACACAGCAGAGCAGAAGAAACTTTTCGTGCAGCAACCCCACACAGATTTAAAGCACCACTTTCATCACTAGAAGTTCTTGTCCTCAGCCAAGTGAGTCACACTGTCAGCACTTCGGCAATCCCCTTGTGACAGAAAGGGTTCCCAGTTCCACAGAGACGCAGGCACATGAAGTTCTCGCTCGGCATCGAGCACGACACCTCACTTTTTATGGCTCTGTACAAACGCAGGGACGGTGAGCGTGCCAGTCTTGACTTCTGCTCGGATTTCAGGTTTGTGCTTTAATGAGAAGACAAGAGCTCGCACCATTCTGCGATACGGCGCGCTAATGAGACGTGAAGAGAGATGAAAAGCTTCTCGCTCAATATTTTCAGCCAGTGGGTGATCAATCTGAAAACAGCAAAGTATAAAATTAGATCTTTACATTTAATAAGGAGACCAACTGATTGAAATTGGAGTTTGGTGCTTTTCGGTGTTTCTTCATTAATCAGTGTAGATTCAAGGAAATCTACTTCTCATCACAAGTGCAACAGGAAGAACAATTTAATTCTACCCTAGCAATTAAGGAGCAAGGCAGCATGGTCAGTAGCAGGGAACATATTCACATCTCCAGCTGGGTGGCAGTGCTTTGCCATCACGACAGGAAACTAATCTGCAACTCGCTTTGGGTTCCAAGTGGAACCACAATTAGAAGCTATGATGTGCTCTGTGTGTTGTGCTGTCTCTCTGAAGCTCACTTTTTGATCCTGCTGATATAAGGCACCTCGGATGCTATTTTAAACTCAATTCCAATAGCAACTATAAGACATGCCAAACACTTGGCAACTCTGCTTTGTGCTATAAAGGGAGATGCAGGCTCTGTGTGTGTAAAAGGAGGTATAATTAAGAATGCAGAAAGGGATTTACTAAATGTTAATTACATAGTTATTGCTTCAACATGTGCCAAAACCTGTAATTTAGAAGATCTTAGGAAAAAAAACCACCCTGCCCATCAAGAAATGGTTTTAATTTCACTTCTGCTTTTTGTGACAGGGAATCTCCCATGCTTCTCATACGGGAGATTCCAGCGTGTCAACCAATACTCCTCCAAGTCCTTTGCCCACTACTTTTACTCTCTTTTTGCTACCCAAAACTAAATTACCCCTCTGCTGGAAAGCACTTGGAGCCCTATTGTATCCATTCAGCCCCATTCTCCCCTTCTAATCAGCTTGCTTTCCAATTGCCCAACCTCTGGCTCCCTCTGGCAACCTCTGAAAACTGTCCATCCTACAAAGACAAGCTCTACTTGTGGATGCAAAGGCAGCTGCAAGCCACAGGGGTAGATTTCCTTGCCTTGCATATCTTCACATAATCATCCCAAAGCACCCTCACACTAAATGACCTTTTTGTTCTGCCCCAGCTCAGATGGATGGGAAGTTGGAGAGGTTGTTCTCATAGCTGGCAAACACATAGCTGTGAAATTCTTGAGTCCTTATCACTTTTCTTGCTGTTTAAAGGGTAACTAATGAATAAATTAAAGGGATAATTATTACAGTGTTTCATAGACCAAGCAAGCTAGTTGTTCAGCCTCACAGCAAAACTCTGTTCATTTACTTAAAGACACCAGAGGGATCTAGTAATTATTGCCATTTTATATACTGTCAAACTTGCCTCTATGTTTTTGCAATAGATTTCAATTTACAAATGTTTAATTACTTAAATATGAAATGCCCAAAAGGTCCCAGTGTTGCCTTAACTGCTGACAACTAACAGTCAAAACTTTATGTTCTGCTAACTTCCTCCTTCTCTTATCCAACCCAACTACAGTACATACACAGCTACTCTACTGGCTGGTGATGTAAATGAGTGCAATACACTTACAGTTAGCATGTTTACTTGTTTAATAACAAAAAAAACCCCACAAATCTACCTTTAAAACAAAGCTACCGATGAATGGGGAGATACAACACTGAAAACAGGAACTCTTGTCCCCACTCTGCTGCTAGGATCAGTTTTAGGGTAACTATGGCCAACAAAGGCTTGTCTAGCCTATGAGCAGCTACTCTTTGAGGTGAAGATGAACACTACCTCTAGATCCAGGGCTTCACAAAGCAGCTTCCGTGCATTCTTTCTGAAAGCCTCAGTCTTGGGATCACTCTTGACTTCTATTGAAGGCCTATTTGAGTGGTGTTTGATGAAAGTTCTCCATTCCACGTAAACATCTTTGGCAAGGCTGGCCACATCAGGATCGGAATGTTTGCGCATCCTGTTCACAGTGTGACCTGAAAAAAAGGCAACAAGTCACACGGTTTTGGTGGGTGGACAATACATACAGTGGTGCTCGGCAGCCAGACACGTCTTTAATTCAGGCAATGTCAGAGTATTGGCACAAACGTAAGTATAAAATTACTCAGAATAAAGCCTCAACTTCACACTCTTGGACACCTGCAGGGATTGTGTTGGAGAAATTAGCAAGGAATGAAGCTAAACACTTGAAAATTATCTTCTCAAGCGTGGAGACATACTGGCTCTAGTGAAAGTCTGTAAAATTGGCCTACGTGTGCTTCTTTTTTTTTTTTTTTAAACTGGAAACCCTGTCAAGGAGGCCGCAGAGCTCCCGCACTGCACGCGGACCTGCCGAGCGAACGGCCTCCTTTGGGAGCGCACCCAGCGCCCCGCCCGGCAGCGCCGTTGGCCACCAGGTGGCGCTGTGCGGCTCCCGCGACCCCGGCAGCCCGAGGCGCTCGGGCACGGGAAAGAAGCGCGGGATGAGCGCGCGGTACCTATTTTTGTGGACAGTAACACTTCCTTGGAAGGTATTTTCTTCTTCAGCTCCCCCAGAGCTTCCATCAGGTTTTCTTTAGGCTGCCCGGGGAGCTCGAGCATCGCCTTCCAGCGCTTTATGTCTTCCACCACCACCACCCTCTGCAAAAAAGCCAGTAGGAAACATTCTTATGAACGAGGCTTCCCCGCAGCCCGCTATCAACGCGCCGTAGGCTGCGTGAAGCGGCGCGCACAGCACGGGGACTCGCCTTAAGGGACTCGAGCGTGGCCTGCCGGAAGGCGCGGGGCTCCGACCGGACCCGGCGGGGGCTCTGCGGGGAGCGGGCCCGGCGCACCACGAACCGCTCCATCCTCCTGCCGGAAGCCGCCGCCCTGCCCTGCGCGCTGCGTAGTTCCCGCCGCCGGGTACAGCCGGTCGAGGCCGCCCGGCGGCGCGGACTACAGCTCCCAGCAGGCACCGCGCGGAGGAGAGCTGTGATCTCGCGGGATCATCTCGCGAGAGGCTGCCGGCGGCCGGTTCCGTCAGAGGAGGAAGATGGCGGCGCGGCGGGCCGGCCTGCTCTGCCTGCCTGCGGCCCTGCTGCTGCTGTGGGCGGGAGGCCGCGCTCGGGCTGCAGGAGCGGTGCCCGCCAGCTCCTCCGAGGCCTTTGACTCCGTGTTGGGCAACACGGCTTCCTGCCACCGCGCCTGCCAGCTGACCTACTCCCTGCACACCTACCCCAAGGTACGGCTGAGCTCCGCCTCGCGGCTCGGCCCCGCGCCCCTCTCCTTCCTCTCGGCCCGCCTGAGGTGCTTCACAGAGACGTGTTTCTTCTTGAAAATAGCTGATTAGGTTTGGCAAATACAGCTTTCAAAGCGTATTTGCGTTTTAGTTCCGTGGGGCTGGGGGTCGCTCCTACTTTCCTCCTATAACCGAAGAGGCAGCTGTTATTCGGGTTGGGACGCTCGGTGTTTTGGGGATTAACGCTGTGCTGTGTCCATAGCCAAGGGCCCTGGGCCAGGATGCAGCATGATGCTCGAACTGTGGAGGATGAAGCATCCAATATGGCAAGCGAGTGGCTTGACAGAGCTGCCAGTGATGTTTGGATTCACATGCATAGAAAACGTCCATCTCAGGATAGTCAAATAATATCTAACAGGAATTTGCTGAATATGTAATTCGTTGGTTCAAAGGTTTGCACAGCTCAGAATTTGAATGTACCAGTTGCTGCCCAGAGAGGCTGTGGATGCCCCGTCCCCGGAGGTGTTCAGGACCAGGTTGGATGGGGCCCTCGGCAGCCTGGTCTAGTATTAAATATGGAGGTTGGTGGCCCTGCCTGTGGCAGGAGGGTTGGAGCTTCATGATCCTTGAGGTCCCTTCCAACCCAGCCATTCTGTGATTCTGCTTTTTTTTTTCTTTCACTGGCAACATATTTCATTGCTAACTGCAGCTGTATAGCAGCTTGAACTCTGAATGGTGGAAGTTTTCTTGTCTCTGAGACTGCCAGGGAAGCAGGCAAATGGAAGGAAGTGGTGCTATTATTTGGTAGCAGGGCTTTGTCTGCTTTCACGTGAAATTAAAATTGGCCTTTGCGGTGCAGCACCTGATTCTGGTATCTCCACAGGGAAGTAATGGGGAGCTGTGTGGAACACAGGTAGAATTAGATCTGTACGTGTGATGTGTTTTGGTGCATACATGTGATGATAGTGAGGGGAAAAATCTAAACCTGGGAAATTGAGGCTAAATGTTCTCCTGAAATAGCTCCATACTGTGCTGGCACTTCAGGTAAAGCTGATGCTTCTGTGATTTTTAATCTGCCTGTGAATTCATTGTTTTGTGTTGATGGGAATGTTGAATTATACAACCACCTCTTCTGTCACAGTTTGTTTGGTTTCTCACAAAACCACCACATGAATGGAAGGAAATTGTTTTAGTTATCATTGGAGAGTAAGTTGATTTTTACTAAGGCTTCTGTGGAAGGCTGCCACAGAAATCTGTTTGCTACAGCCAGTTCTGTGTGGATATTAACAGACAGAACGTATTTTCTGTAACAGCAAAACTGTCTTAGCCATTCTGTCTGTGTTGAGTTTTATCTGTGTTTTCAGTTTAGCTGCCTTTAAAGCATGTGAACTTGTGCTCTCAAACAATGACAGTGCACTTACAGTAGATTGTACAGTAAGGTGTGGTGTGTTTGTTTTTGGTGCAGTTAATTTAGAGTCTGTTTTCCCCCTGTAAAGAAGGTGGCTGCAATCACATAGGTGGCCGTGTAGTTACCAGGCTTGGTGGATCTGATTCACTTAAAGGAGGCTGGCTGTAACTCTGCAATGTGGAGACCACCATATGTGGAAAGTACACCTCCACCCCTCTGTGCTGTGGTCAGAAGAAATACTGGGTTATAGTGCATAATCTTAGTGTTGTATAGCACCATCCTGCAGTGATATAAAAATGTGGTTTTGTGGAACTAGTTTGGCAAGTAAACAATTGACTGTGGTATTGCTGGAGAAATTAATCAGAAGTTAATCATTTATTTTGGTGATTCTGCTGGAGTTCTAATTAGAGGCTGGTGGATACATTGTAACACAGTGTAAAAAACAAACAAAAAACCAACAACAAACTCTGTTTTGGTCTTCACCCGTTGGGTTCTGTTAAACTTCTGAAGTGGACGACTGCGTACTCATTCTGTGGTTAAATGTCAATAAATCTTTTACAATGTTATCTCTTATTTTTAAAGCCTATGCTTCTTCAGAAATGCAGCGTGGCTTCGCTGTGAGTCGTAGGAACAGAATTGCAAAATGGAATTTGCTGTTCCAGGTCTGACTTACCCCAGGACTGAGAGCTCTGTCTGAAATGGATCAGGCTGCATCACAGTGTTACAGAACTGTAGCTGTGTTTTATTCCAGATGATCCAGACTGTTGTATTTGTCTGACTTCTAGGTCTGGTAGAGGGAAGGATTATGGTGCTCTACTGGGTGCCTTTCTGTAGCACTTCTGAAAAAAACAAAACAAAAAAAAAAACAAGAAACAAAACTTGTGGGGTTTTGGCGGTTTCTTTTTTTTTTTTTTTTTTCTATTTATTCTTGAATGGAGGAATGAATGTAAGTCTTCTCTTGTGCCTTCCCAGGAAGAGGAATTGTATGCGTGCCAGCGAGGCTGCAGACTGTTTTCCATTTGTCAGTTTGTGGATGATGGCATCGATCTGAATCGAACCAAACTGGAATGTGATTCTGGTAAGAAGAATTCAGAACTCCTTTAACGTCCCCTAATGTGGAGATGCACACAGGGAACAGCAGCAACATCTGAAGGACGTTGTTAAAAAATGGTGGGATTATTTCAATTGCTTCCATGCAACTTCAGGCTCGTTTATAGAAGTGAATTGTTCAGATGAAGAACAAGTATCACAGTGTATGTCTGCCTTGTAACTTGTGGTCTAGGCTAAACTTTCAATACAGCAATAATTACATTTTGTTTGAAATAGGGATCTAAATATTTAAGACTAATTGTCTCAAATTTGTGTTAGAGTGATAATCTCTTAGTAAAGGTGACATATATAAATGCTGTAGCCAATTAAGACAGTTTCTGCAGTTGTACAGAACTTCTATGTAATAATACTGAGGTGGCTGCTTAACAGTTGTGCTCAGAGATTAAGTGGGACGTAACCACCCAAAGCAGGAAAACCAGCAGAGTAGCTCCCCTCTGTTTCTGAAATATAATGAGGACAACATCAGCTCTTAGAGGAGGCTTTTGTCTTCTCAGCAATTCACAAAAACAAGAGGGCTAGTGGTTAGCTCAGGGAGCTGCTGGAAGATACACAAGGAGAAAGCCTGAAATGCAAAGATGTTAAAGTGAAACAAAGCCATATTAAATGCTCTAGAAATGGGCTAGTGCTCTAGTCTGTCATACACTGTGTATAGCTGTGATACAGCATGTCAGTCTAGTTGTTGAACCATACAGGAAAGAGTGCCATAAAAAGGGTGATGCAGCAGGAAGGCACACGTGGAGGTGATTGAACAGTTGCTTACTTTCTGATTTAACTCTCCTTTCTGAGGCTGTTGTCTTTTGCAGGCTTATGTTCTGTAATCTGTTGCACTGGTTGGTACCCTGACAGTTACTCAGGCAGAATGTACTTTGGCTGACCTGCTGAATTCTGTCTTGTGATGTCTCTGCATGTCTACTAACACTAGCTTGGTGGCACTTTTGCTGTAGAATTGCTGTTCAGGTGCTGTGAGCCAAATACTCAAATGTTTAGCTGCTGGTGCTGTGTGAATTGCCAGCTTTCCAGCCTCTCTGATGGTGCATTTATTCCTGTAGGAAAATTGAGAGAGCTGCTGCACTCTGTGTTGCTGCTTAAGTGGAGGCTTTAGGTCAAATAGTGCTGTAATATCATCCATCTCAGCTTTAGTATTTTGAGAAAGAGCTATGCCCATATATTGTCCACCTGATTTCTCCATTTGTAAATATATTCAGAAATTTAAATTTCTTGGTCTTCATGGTTTCTAGTGAACAATTAATAGAAGATACATGTAAATAAAGAGTTGGCTTCATTTAATTTTTGTTGAAAATTAAATCATCAATACTTTCAACACAGTTACTGTACTTAGTGTGCTAGCAGGAAAATGTTCCTTAGGTTTTCCTAAGGAATACCATGATTTCTACAGTTAACTCTGAGAGGTTTAGTAGATCTGTGGCCTCTCTATTTGTTTAGAATTCCAGCTTTGTTCTCGAGGATAAGGTAGTAAAAATGTTTTACATGATCTGTAGAGGAAAAAATATAGTGGCAGTAGGAGAATCAATGAAAACTTGCAACCTTGAGTTTGCCCAGACTCAGATTTCTGATTGGTTGTTCTGACAGCATTCAGATTTAAAATATGTGATTTGTGTGAGTTCCAATTCCTTAACCTTCATTAGACCTGGCACCAAATGCTAACCTTGGAATGATTGCTGTATCTTTCCCTACAAATGGGATTGTCAATCTTTTAACTGCTGCTTTGTTTCTGATCCAACTTATGTTGAAAATGTTTTCTTAACTAAAATGCAGAATTTATCTTCTCATTTTGGGAACTTTTCTTGCAGCCTGTACTGAGGCATACTCCCAGTCTGATGAACAATATGCTTGCCATCTTGGATGCCAGAACCAATTGCCATTTGCTGAGTTAAGACAAGAGCAAGTAAGTACATGACATGTTTTTCAAATACCACCTACTTGTTTTCTGTTCAGCATGTCTTCTCTTTTTTAAAATTCTTCAAATGAAATCTTTTGAAGAACTGAAATATAGACATGGGGAAATGAGTGAGCATGAACATAAGTTCTACCCTCTTCATATGAAAACAAATTGAAAATCAGTTAATGTTGTATTTGCAGTTAATGTCTCTGATGCCAAGAATTCATCTCCTCTTTCCTCTGACACTGGTGAGATCCTTCTGGAGTGACATGATGGATTCAGCTCAGAGCTTCATAACATCCTCGTGGACT